TATATATATGTATGTATGTATATATATATTTATGTATGTATGTATGTATGTATATATATATATATATATATAATATATATATATATATATATTCATGGATGTAAGTGTGTGTGGGTGTGGGTGTATTAAACTCGATTATTATTGGTCATTCCTATCCAACTGTCCAGCTGATGTACTCGTATTTTTACGTTTATTCTTAGAAAAAATATCAGACCACGGAGGCCACTTTGAGGCGTGGGAACAGCCCGAGTTGTTTGCCGAGGATGTGCGAACGTTTGTGGCTCGGTTTGACCCAACGACATTGAACCTGGAACAATAGACTTGGCCAATGTTCCACGATACTCGACTGAGAGAGGGACATACATAGTTCAATGGGATTCGCAGATGTATTATATTACAAGCGCAATGACGAGCCGAGTAGTATAATTTTATAGGATTTAGGTTTATAGGGTTCTAGGGTATAGGTGAACACCCCTAGAAACGGATGTGAGAGTACACAGCCGTTTTACACAACAGAGTAGATCGACTGATAGGATAAATAGGGCCGGCTGAATTTAGAAACGCTTGCACTCACATATGTTTCAGAAAGTGCCTGCCGATTTTGCAGGGAAGCCTTCATGCTTATCTACCAGACAGAAACACACATGGAAGTGCGTACAAAGGCAGGACCTGCCTACACACGCTTGTGTTTGACCATATACCACTCGAACGCAGCCCTATGCGTTGAGGATATGCTTGAACGTTGTTGTAGGAGAGCAGATAACCCTTGTGCAACGGTTGATAAGCTTGATGTGATGTGAGTGGAGGGCGGACGGTGCGTCTCTGCGGTGAAAGGCCCATCAGTAGCACAAATTTCTCCCGTATGGCTTTATTTACTGCATGAGTGTCATAAACTACAAATAAACGTATACGTACATCTATAACCGTATACGTATGCATAAACGTATACGTATACGTACAGCCTTTTGAGGGAGGACGGACCTTGTAGCGCAAGTGAGCGCACTATACATGCGCTGATTTACGATTTATTGTACTAAATAGCATAGCCTTCTTTATTTTTTTCAGAAGGCTATGTAAATAGCGTGGAGGGTTTAGGGCTTTATATACTTTGTGCTACGCTGGCTTGGCGATTAAAGAGTGGGCGGTTAAGCAATACTGAAGACGTTCCGCTTGTAGGTGTTTTAGGACCGTTGGGGATTTAGGTTGACAAAAGTATACACGCATTTAACAACTGTTCTGCTTCTGACGTGTGTGGTAAACATGCGCAGCCTTTATAATAAGGTATAGGGGTTTCTAATCGAAATTATGCCAATATGAAATGTATGCACACTTTAAACGAACCAGATCGCTGACGGTCTTGAAGAATTCAAGCGAGAGTTCCAATTACAGCACTATAGATTTATCTATATACATGTTTAATATATACATAAAATATATCAATTAGTAGTTTCGTTTATGTCAATGTGCTGTACGATCAGCCTACTAGTGCCTGCTGATATGCCTCTTTAAGATGTTTCGGTTTTACGTTTAAGGTGTTACGGTTTTACGGTTTTAGTCCTATTGGCTGAAGTTTGGGAATCGACACAACATGTGTCTATTGAATGTTAAACACACAGTATCGACGCTGCATTTTGATGAACTCAATTTAAGATGTAGAGCTCAATGATGAAACAAACATCCACCTTCTGAAAATAATAATAATATTCACTGTACTCGTCTGATTGTAAAATCAGACAAAGACAAGTACTGAAAGCTTTGGATTGGCTTAGCTTGAAGTGCATGGGCAGCGGTGGTAACTACATCACTGGCCTGGTAGTATGCGCTGAATCAGTCTGTCACAAGAATACTCCTCCGTCAAGATCAAATTACCGTGAGATCGTCTTCAATGCACTATTGAACCTGTATAGTCTGCATCTATCATACTATAGCACACTGAATCCCCCCCCCCCCCCCAGCCTTCACAATGTCGGTCATCACACCAAACGCCTGCCCCTATTTTGGTGCTAGCAATTGCTTCCGGGTAATTAAGAAGCTATTTCCCTGATGGGCTACAGCAAACACCTGCTTGTATTTCAAATTATTCTGCTAGCTGTGCATTGATACCTGTTTTGCAACTACTCGACCCAATACCGTGCTTTCTAAATCTAAAAGTTTTACAGTTGGGCGAGGGGGTTTAAATATTATTAGTTTTCTCTGTATCTCAGAGGAAATAGCCGCTGTTGCAAGAGACTGCAGATTCGGTTGAAATAATATTACTTTACCATAAGCGGAAGTCGTTTTATATCCGCTGAGCCTTTGCTAGCAGGGGTCTGCTTTCAAGGGCACTTGGCGGCTTGTTTATTTCTTGAATGGCTGGGTTTCAATACTTCCCATGTAAACAGTTAACTCATCCACTTTAATTTGAACATGTTCTACCAAGCTAGTTATATTAGGTTGTAATACTGAGCTCAACCGACTTGAATTCGCAGTGCCCTTGTCAGGACTAAGTTTTATTTTTTCACAGAAACTTTCCGTTCGCGTTCTGCATTGCTATGCTGTTTTTCGTGCTTGTGGGAGTGGATTTAATGGAATGATATTTCCTGGACACGGTCCACTTCGTCGTTCGCTTCAATCCAACGTCGTCTGCATCGATGTCAGCCAAGTTCTGCTGCGCTATGTTTATAACCGTATCGCTAATTCAGTGGTCGCAATTCCATGCCGAAGACGTGTAGGTCTGTTCGATTTGCAAGGTGCGACTAGTATCATTTGGCAAGATTGCGCTCTTCGCAAACTAGTTTGCCCATATGATCTTTAAATCGTTATTTAGAATGGATCAGTATGTAAATGAAGAGTTTTTATTTATTTATAAAAAACCCCAAGATCGTGTTTTGCGAAGAAAATAGAGGTCATGTATTATAAAGAGTGATTGATGTGCTATATAATGTTGATATGCAAAGTAGGGTGCTCGACTCCATTGGGAATGATACGAGGGTTTCTAGCCCCGAAGTACTACGAACACAATTGTCATCACTATAAGTTATGTGGTGGGAAGATTACAGGCGATCTCACCGACAACTAACACGAGCAAAAATCTTGAAGCAAATTTATCAGCCAAGTCCCTGATTTACGAGCAGTAATAGCAAGACACGAAAGCGAGAATCCCAGTTTGTCAAAACAAATAAAGCTCCGGGAAGTGTGGTAATTGAAATCAAATAGACTAAATATGAAGGAATTATTTAGGCATTTGAGTTACACACTGGTTGTTTCTCGGCGCTGATCCAGGCGGCTATACGATCAGCAAGGGTGATAAAAATTGTGCGTGCGTCTTTTACTATGTGATCCGCCATATCTGGTAGTTAAATTTCGTATTGCTCTGGGGCATGAAGGGAATCTACTTTGCTAGCATTTGCGTAGGAACGGAACCTTTTCTGGTCGAAGTCTCATCAAGATCCTTGCTTACTCCTTATTGACCACTTCGATGATACAGAGTGCCAGCCGATATTTACACATCCAAGGTTTGAAGGGTGAGGAATATAGTAGGTTTCCAATTCCAGCATGAGCCGGATGGAAGACCATACTATGGGCGATAATCACCAACCTTTAAGGATGTAAGAGAATATGCCAATACTTAAAGGAACGGGGAAGATCACACACACATGTAGTGATCCAATCTATGAGGTCAATCTCGTGCGGTTAGCCACAGCAGGATAATTTTATTATCATTTTTAAAAATGAAGTGCCGGTCTCAACTAATTGCAGTTTAGAAAAGAAGCGTAAAATGCCCATAAACGTATTTACATGCCATCATGTATATATATACACATTACTCGGCCTGTATTTACCCCTGAAAGTACTTCTTGCATTGCCCAAAACGTCAACGTTCCAAATACCACTTCCAAGTTGTAGCCTCTGTACTCGACTAGAAATCATCATTTCGATCGTTGTGTACACCTTATGCATCTGGTCTATTGGAGAGCTGTTTTGATCATACGGAAATGCCTCGTGAAATTGGTCCCGACAATCTGATTGTTGCGGATCTTCCCTACAAATATCATTGCATGTCAGATGAGAATGGACTATTACGAACATTTATAGTACTCGATGATTATTTTATACTTCTATTTCTGATACCAGTTCAACCACAGACTACAGCTTGGCTACAGTTTCCTGCATAGCCCAGAATGTTATCCTATATATTTTTATTATCTTATATATGCGGCTGAGATATGCACGCTTACACTTCGTTCGCTCTACCGCCTGTTGCCCGCCTTTCCCCATGCGCACACCCATGCGCGTGGCAAACAGACTTGCACTTTAAGCCCATTCTTAACACACAGCCCCACTTCGCAATCGCAATGGGTATACATGGCATGGATTAATCTGGCAGTATATACACATCTGAAACGCGTTGTATGCGGCATGCTCAGTGTGCGCAAAGACAGACCCAGCCACTTTCGATGCAGCGACTCAACCCAGAAGATAGCTCGCTCACACGCTGCCAGAAACGGCAGCCGGTGGATACGCCAAGTCTAAATAAGCCCATTACATTGCAGTACACTGTGGCCTTCGGCAAACGCCCATAACACTTTCGGCTACGTGTGCGTGATTCAAGGCGAGCTGTATGGCACTGACAGCACTCGAGAGAGAACTCGAAAGCGCGAGGCGGTCTGAGGGGTTGGTACCGTGAGTTGTACGACAAGCCAGTAGCTTGATAGGGACATGTATACCATACGCTTCATGCCCTTGTGCTTGCACTCACGGTATGCTAATCGTATCAGGCTCTCGCATGACAATGAGAACGCCACCGCAGCTCGATTCCCACACAAACATACAGCCACGACGGTTTCCTGATATTTCTGCGATATTATCATAGCGTTCGTGGTAGGCTATGCCCATGCTGAGTAGAGGCCATTACGGAGTTTGCAATTGGCGGTCTGTGGTTGCTATGGCTTTGATGTGCACCTTCTGCACGTCACCGTCAATGTGCCACACGGTGCTGAAGTGACTCCAATATCACCTGTACGCCAGCCACACACTCAAGTACGCATCTAATCCTTAAGATTGTACCCATTGCAGGTATGATAGTATCCGTTAGATATGTTACCCTCCCTCGTCGGTATATGTTATACGATCTTTACCCGTGCCAGTACTCTCCGACGCCCATCCACCCCTCAACGAGTGTGCGTCGTCCACGCCTGGCCATTTCAGCTGCGGGCTTTAGGCCTCTTGTTTTTTGGGCTTCTTGCCCGTGAGCTTGCCCATGATACCCTTGAGCTTAGATGCGCTGATAGCCTTGCTCATGCCCTTCTTCTTGGGCTTCTCGTCGCCGCCCTCCCAGTCGTACACGTCCTCCGATGGCACGTTGTTGCCCACCGCTGTCTGTACGATGGATGGCTTCATCTCATTGCCCTTTGCCACGTTCTTATCCACAGGCTCCGTCTCCTTCCCGTCGTCTGTGGCACTGGCTATGACCTTGGACGTGGGCCTTGACTGTGGTCGCGAGGGCGGCTTATCCTCCACAGTCATGCTCTCCTGTGACTTCATGACATCTGCGCGGGTGTCGGGCGTAGAGTGTTCTGGCAGAGGTGCTTCCTCATACTCGCTGTCGCCGTTGTCCTCCTCAGCGGTGGCGTACATGCTAATCCCCGATATAATGCTGTCGTTGTTGCTGACACACGAGTTGGTGCTGCTGCGCTTGTTGCCCAGGCGTGCGTTGGTATCGTGCCACTCCTCGTCCCCTTCGCTATGATCGCTCAGCCCCACCACAGCCCCAGTCTCCGTCGTGTCTGGGCTGATACTTCTGGGTGACTTTGTGTGGGTTGCCTCTGGGCTTTGCAGTCCAGTCCCCACGCCGTTGGCCTTACCCGCAGCCGCGTCTGCGTCACCCACGGTGTCACTGCCCTCTGCCGCAGCAACGGGAATAGGGCCGTCCAAGTCCTGGGGTGGGGTGGACTCAGTTGCACCCGTTGCGTTGGCTTGCTCTACATCGTCAGTGACTTCGCCCATCGCTTCACTTCGCTCATTGGTAAGTGTGATGGACGGTACAGGCTGCAACACATCCGCCTCCGCCGCACGCTGCTCCGTACCCAGCTTCGTGTCTTGTTCGCTTACGTCTACCTCCTTAGACACACCTACATCCTTACTCTGCTCCTCTGCTACTATAATAGCCGCCGCCGCCGCAGCAGCAGCCGCTACCGCCGCCGCAGCAGCCGCAGTCTCCTTGGCATCCTCGTCTTCCTCCTCGGCATCTACAGCATGCTCGGTCCCGGTATCGACCTCCTTCATACCGGGATCCATGTCTCCGTCTCCTTCTGCAAACACCTGTTCCGTGCCCTGCATGCCCTCAGCGGCGGCGGTGAGGTCGTCTGCCGCTCTCTCTTCGATCTGCGGCACACTCCAGCCGTCGTGGGGTGCGCTGACACTGTCCATGGTTTCCTGCACAGCCTTGTGGTCGTCCTGTACAGGCGTGGGTGTCTCTAGTGCACCTGCCCTGTCCTTTTCGGACTGGTCGTCGAGTGCTACCGTCTCGTCTGCCCCGTCCATGGCCTGTCCTGGTTCATGAGTCTCGCCTGCGTGTGTTTCGTTAGGGTTTTCTTCACTGTCCTCCCTTGAACCATGCGATGCTCTGTGTGCTGCTGCGTGTGCTGGGCCTGCCGAGGGGCGTGCCGGGGGTGCACCTGAGTCAACCACTTCACTAGCCTCAGCCTCAGCCTCCTTCTCCTCCGCCTTGGCAAGCTCGGCATCAATGGCCTTGGCTTCGTCCTGCACCTCGTCCTGCCTTTTGGGCTCAATATCCTGTGTGTGCGGATGCTCGATGGGCGGGGCAGCCGGCCTTGGGGGAGGCGCACCGTTGGGCCCAGGGGTGCGTTCTACAGGTGCAGTCTCACTTGGTGCAGCCACAATGGGAGCAGGGGGTCGAGGAGGGGGTGCGGCTGAGCATGATAGAGTGGAGGATGGGTGTGAGCAGGGCTCGATACAGATGTTTGACATTATATAGCTACTGGAAGGTGTAGTGGTGGTATACTGATACAGATGTTTGAACAGATGTTGACCAGATGTTAGACATTATATAGTTACTGGAAGGTGTAGTGGTGATATACTGATACAGATGTTTGACATTATATAGCTACTGGAAGATGTAGAGGTGGTATACTGATACAGATGTTTGACATTATATAGCTACTGTAAGGTGTAGTGGTGGTATACTGATACAGATGTTTGACATTATATAGCTACTGGAAATATAGCTACTGGAAGGTGTAGTGGTGGTATACTGATACAGATGTTTGACATTATATAGCTACTGGAAGGTGTAGTGGTGGTATACTGATACAGATGTTTGACATTATATAGCCACTGGAAGGTGTAGTGGAGATATATTTTATGAGAGAAACGTGCCAGAGAGGTGTGAGTGGCCGGGTGTGACCCGACAGCGTAGGATAAGCGAGGGGCAGCACAAGGGAGTGCACAGGACAGCAGCAAACAATCGAAGCACTCGACACACACACAAGGAGCCATGGAGTCAAATACACCAAAGGACTTGTGATGCACAATCCACGCTAGGACAGAGACCGCTGCTACATATGAGCCACGTGCATAGGATGAGCTGTGGTTAGTTTATGCACAGGCACACGTTGTGGGGCAAAGCTGGGTACGCACGCAGCAGATTCCCACAGGCGTATTAATTGGCCCGAACTATATCATGCTCTATGCACACACATATATTTATATACATATATACATAAAATCTTGCACTCATGCATTCATACATGTGTGAATATATGAATGTATGTATATATGTATGTATGTATGTATGTATGTGAATACTACTCTTACCCCTCTCAGGCTGCCCGGTAGCTTGAGCAGTGTCTTCCTTCTGCTCCACTTTGTCTTCGTCCGTTTTCTTTGCTTCGTCCTCTTCTGATGATAAATTTGGGAATGTGGTCAATCGGGACTCAGTCATCAGCAACAGCCAGACGAAGAGTGTACGAAACCAAACTATGCACCAACTTCACAGCAATATACGGTACAATAAGCAACAGACCACAGATGTGGACAATAAGCAACAGACCACAGACGCATGCCCATGAATGCCAGCAAAAACAACACAACCTTTCGCATGCAGATTTCGGGTCGTCCTACAGACACATACAAACCTCGTGCTGCAGCCACCGACGACCCAACCACAACCACAGCAGCAGCCGCAGGCATTATGGGAGGAGGTGCAGATTTGGTCTTTGGCCCCGGGGATGTACCTCGTTGCTTAGCAACGCCTGTGCTTGCGGGAAGGTCCTTTGTCGGCTGTACTGGCGCTGCGCCGAGGGCGGTTAAGCCCGCAGCACCCGCACTAGGCATGAATGGGGGTGGCACAAATGGGGTGGCTGGCTTGTTCGAGGAGCTACGACTGTGAAGAAAACGGAAGGTGAATAGTAATGAGGATATGCATGTGAAAGATAGGCATGTAATAGCTAGACGAATTGCATATGTTCACCACACCTTCATTGAGGGGTGCGGCTGAGAACATGTGTTAAGTAGAAACTATAATACACAAACAGATGCTCACGCGAATATAGGTAGATTTGCAATTATGTCTGTATTGGTAAATATATACATGGAAACAAATTTCGAGAGACGCGCGTAGATACTTGATTTGATGTAACTATCATTAGAGTAGGTATATATGATATATATATATATAAACATAGCTCTCGAATATTTGAGCACTTATGCATGCATGAATTTGCATACATATTTCTCAGATTGATATGCCGAAAGGAATTCCATATGTACGTGTCCGTTGGGGTCTATACAGATATGCGCCTACTAAATATGAATGATGGGATACTCTGTATCACACCTATGACACTACTCAGCCACTTTGCAATAATGATAAAAAAAGCATACCATTCTGCTCAGCAGCAGAACCCCCTGAAAACTCTATAGAATGCACCCACATACACACTCCCACAGACCCACGCAAACACACTACCACACTATTGGCATGCTGGAAGCACGAAATACGATGCGCCTAGTACGTGTGTACACTGCCCCTGTAGGTACACATGTGCATCTATGTGCACATCCGCAATTTCGAGAACGAGAGTCTATGTAAAAGCGTATGTGTGTACACACATGCATTTTCAAACACATCCATCCATATTCACGCGTGTGTACACATATGCATTTTTCAAACACATCTATCCATAGTCACGTGTGTTGTGTGTCTATCCATATTCACGTGTGTGTGTGTGTGTGTGTGTGTGTATGCGTCCCTACCTGGGCGATGGGCCCGTGGAGGTGCGGCTGATGGTGGACGCATTTCTACTGAGTGGCTGCGGCTTCTGTTGGCCTGGGAAGAAGGGCGGCGGAGCGAATATCGACTGTGGGGTGATCGAACGTCCCCTGGACTGACTCCTCTGGAGTGTATCGGTCCCGGTATTCCCTGTGGGGTTCATAGCGGGATGGGTGTCCGTGCCCTTTGGGCCTCCAGGCAAGTACGGTGGGGGTGTGAATGTCTGCGCTGGCGTGAGTTTGCGTGACATGCGCCTGATAGGCACTGCCGCAGCACCCACCAGACCGGCGAGTTGAGTCAGCACCAGCTCGGCAGCGTCCGATGCATTGTCTGCATTTTCATTGGACGAGGCTTCCTTCGCGTCAATCGCGGTGTTCTCATTGGATGACGTGGGCTCATCCTCCTTCTCCTTCGCCTCTACATCACCGTCAGCCGCTTCAGGCGACTGGTAGTCGCTGGAGGTGTCTGCTGCCCTGTCTCCTTGCCCAGGCCCAGGCACAGGCACCTGCGCCACCACCTGGCCATTGGCCTGTCCTGCCTCAGTGGTCGTAGTACACACAGGCTCTTCCTCACCCACTCGCGCAGTCGCATCGGTTGGCTGAGTTTGTATGTCCGCCCCATCCTTCTGTGTGTCGTCCTGAGTGTTGGTAAACGCGTGTGCGGCGTCTATCACCACCTGCTTCACGACTTCCAGGCCCCCACCCACTGGCATGACCATATCAGAGATCTGACTCATGGCATCTGCCAGAGGCGACGGCGAGTTGGAGTCTTTGCTGTCACCAAACGATGCCAGAGACAATGGAGCCCCTCCGATGGGTGCACCACCAGCACCCACCAGCACACTATCGTCCTGTGGTAAAGGGGAGGGAGAGGAGGGTGTTACTGGATATATATATATATATATATTGATTCTAGAATATTGATAAACTGGGATACTCGCGGCCACAACAATTCCAACACACTATAAAACACACACAAACACCTCAATCGACCAAGAACACGAGATACGTCACAATTCGTCGCAATTGCCATAGGCACAGACAATTCAGGGATACGATGTGATCGGCGGCGTCAGTCACATGCACATGATTACTATACACGTTGAAAGCACACATCAACCATAACCACCGCTCCGTCAATGTGAGCAGGCGCATAGTAATGTGAAGCGTATAGCCGATAGCCCCAACAGCCCTCAATTGAAACTAAAGGGCCAAGGGGCACTCGCATGCATATGGTTGATGGATATAAATATAATACAGAAGTGCACATGGTTAATGGATCTAGATATGATACAGAAGTGCTTACCTGGTTGTCCTTATCATCGCTCGACTGCGTTGCACTTCCTGTTATACCTTGCATACCGTCCTGCAGATAAACGGGTGTGTATATGATAAACGGATGAGTATATGATAAACGGGTGTGTATATGATAAACGGGTGTGTATATGATAAACGGGTGTGTATATGATAAACGGGTGTGTATATGATAAACGGGTGTGTATATGAGCAGTGATCGTGACGTCGGGATGGCTGTGAAAGAGGCCTAGTAATAAGCAATACACACAAGCAACGCTTTAGACGAACACCTCTCTCCTTCAATGGCATGAGACAAAAAGTGTATAACACAGGAGAAACATATGATACCACATCCAAGATGTTATAGCTATACACATGCACATGGTACATCACAGGAGAAGCAAATGGGACACATGTTGATACTACTACGCACATCCACATAGTATTACCCAAAAGAAACATGAGACCACATCCAAGATGTTACAGCTATACACATGCACATGGTACATCACAGGAGAAGCAAATGGAACACATGTTAATACTACTATGCACATCCACATAGCACTACAGAGAAACATATGAGACCACCCCAGTGACTACTACACAAATGAGACCATATCAAGCTACTATTGCTATGCCCATCCACATAGTACATCCACATCAAGTGCTGTACATACCCTTGGCGGTGCCCTTTTGAACCGATTGGCATTTACTTCCTCATCCGTAGTCTCATGCCCTTGAATGGGACTGCGCATTTTAAGATCACGCAGCGGTTTCTCCGGTGAGGCGAGCGCTGAGCCCTGGTTGCTTGTGGATAGCTTCACCACAATGTCCTACAGTATAAGTAGCGGCGGGTGGGTATGTTAGGTGTGGTGGGCTGTATTATCGTATATCTCATTGCAGTCGTTGGCAGTAGTGGGGTGTGTGAATATGGTTACACGCACTGATTCAAGGGTGTATACATGCAGAATAAAACGTGACATACAGCTTCAAGTGAGTGGAGATTTTAGGCATACTTTTCATAGAAAAATCCTAAACCCACACACACACATATATATATATATATATAATCATATATCTGTATGTGTGTATTTTATGTATAT